TCATTGTGGTAGGCAGCAGACCTACCTAACTTTACATAATTTACATGTATATATGACATATATATTTATCATACTTATAAATGTAGCTTCCTGCTCATTGTGTATCAAATAACCAAGGATGTCACATATTTATGATAAATGACAAATTCAGTAAAAACTGACAAGTGACACATCATGTATCAAGTGTAAAGGATCAAAGAAAATGTGAGAAAATGAAACACACACAAACTGGCATGCTCCCACACCTGTACCACCACATGCATGATGCCTGTCACTTACACACCTGCATTAGCACATGTATGTGAACTAATAATGTTTACACACTTGTAGCAGCACATGTATCACACACGCACCACACACACACCCAATGAAGAAAGCACTCTCCCACTCCATGAAAATGTAAGACACCACCCTTCCCCCTATAAAAAAGTAACACTTGAACCACCCAAAAGTCACTATAATTATCCCATTATGGCACTCATCATTGGATTAATGAAGGAGAAGATGGATTAGGTCAATCTAAGTCCTTCTCCCTTGAAAAATCTACTTAAAAACTGTGGCACGTTGATTGCTTTCATCAAGTTAAATTTAATTTCTGTAATGTGATTCCTCATACTGTAATGGAATCTGGCCATCTGTTACCAGGAGTACTTCTCCGATTTCAATTATAGTAACAGCCACAGTGCATCTAATGCCTCGGTCAAACAGACACATGTACTCTTCTTCTTGGAGCAAGCTTTTGTCTTATGTATGGGTACATCTAAACCAGTGTGGTATCTTTACTTCAAAAAGACAATATCATGAATATTGGAGTTAAAATTTTACTATTTAACTTGAAATTTAGAATCATTCTACCTTTCCCGTAATTCTGATCATACCAAGAACAAATTTTATTTAACTGTTTGCAAAATTCATCCTCTTTAAGCTGTTGCAGAATAACAGATCTCCATGAATACATGAAGAAGGTTCTGCCTTCAATCTCAAAAACAGAATTCATTTTTGTGTACAGCTGACTTTTCATTGTGATACTTAAATCACAAAACTCTAACTCCCATGCAAGACAACCTAACAACTTTTCTTTATAATATAAATATAAGTTAATAACACACAAATTACATAGTTTAATTTTAGGTCCCACCTCCATCAATCTGACTGAGAAAAAAATATATTAATGCTTATAAAGCATTTAAAATTGCATTACTATACTCAATAAATAAACATGATTACTAAAGACACAATGTTAACTCGTTCACACTATCAACTGACCTCAGAGTACCATGGCTTACCACTCTCAAGAGTCATTGCTTCCTAGCTCCGCCTTGGGTCGCCAAGGGAGACAACAGTTACATAAAATACACAAATTAGATGATATTGGTTGTAAAATCTTTGAATAAAATGCAATTTAAACTGATTTCCAGCAGGAGACTAACTGATAAAAGAAAATAAGAATTCTGAAAATGGGAGACTTTTGGGTGTGGACATCCCCTACTTTACCTTGTTACACTTGTTTATTTTTCATTTAGTTTGTGGCCACACACGATTCATATTTGGCATAAAAAAAAAAAATGTTCAGTGGTTGTTTTTGTATACCTGTCAGAAAACATTTATCTTTTTATACTAAATGGGGTTTTTTGTGTGTGAACACGGCTGATGGATGGTACGAAGGAAGCTTGGTGAGAGAGATGATTTATTTTACAAATGATTCAGAAGGACGAGAATGAGAATGATGTGAATAAAGCTAGATCAATACTTAGACAACAGCATTGTGACATTAATTACTCTGCAATTTATCTCTGAATTTTCTATTAGCACCATCTGTGAGGGAGAAAGCTAGCAGATACCAGCTAGATATACCATGGTACAGCAAGCCACTAAACAACGGACCAACAGCTTTACATTGGCTTTCAGATACTATACACTTTCAAATAGTGTTTCTGAAAACATCTTTGCATATGTAAACAATTTTGAAGAAAAAAAGATTATGATAAACACATAAATTATAAAGCATTTGAATTGATCAAAAGTCAAGCCAGAAAAAGGATTGTTCAACAGAATTCTTGCCTTGTGCAGGAATGTGCATGAAGCTATACTGCCACCCGTCCCCTTATCTGTAGTAAACTATATATTTATTATGAATTTCTCTGTAGTAAACTATATATTTATTATGAATTTCTCTGTGAAACACTATTAGCTTTAACATACATTTTACAGATAAACTAAAAGCACTTTTTTTAGTATGAAAGGGCATTTTTCACTGATCTGAAAACTACAAAAACAAAAGTATTTATACCAATTATGATGCAATAAAACAAAAGAAATAACTTGTCTTTTTCAAGGGTTCAGTTCAGTACAAAATACAAAATTGAGGTCGGCATCACAAACCGTTGAGATATGATTTAGAGCAGGTCAAAGTGTAATACTTGTTACAACTATATATCAGACAATATGGTGGGTTTGCCTTCTAGTCAACAGATGAATGAGAAAAAATAAGATACTGCTTTGAAACACATACATAGACAGGTATAATTCACAAATGACGTGTTGATGGCCCCTAAACTGCTCTTACCAGCAGTCGCATACACATTAGTCCTCACTGGCATAATCTCTACCCCAAGTTCCACAGTCAAATGTCAAATAACACACTCTACCCAAAACTCTAGTAAAATGTCAAAGGTCAAATAACATAATCTCTACCCCAAACACCATGCAGTCAATGTCAAATTACATAATCTCTACCCAAAATTCCACACAGTCAAAGGTCAAATAATATAATCTCTACCCCTATCACCATGCAGTTAAATGTCAAATAACATAATCTCTACCCCAAACACCACACTGTCAAATGTCAAATAACATGATTCTCTACTCAAAACACCAATCAGTCATAAAGGTTCACGGACTTGATTTCTTACCCAAACTTTGCAGAATCAAATGTCAAAGGTCAACAGATAAAATCTTGACTGCAAACCAATACAATCAAAGGTCCAGTATCAGTTAGTCTTGATTGTAAATATGTCCACACTTCCCATGTTTTAGTAGTGACAAGTCCTCTAAAATTGAACATGATACAAAATGACTAGAAATTATTTGAAGATTATATATATATCACTAATATTTTGAGAAAAGAGTAGTTTTTTTTTCTCTCAGTCTCTTTACTTCTAAACCTTGAAATAAAATTGAGCTCAAATTGATTAATTAAATCAGCCAAATTTTTATTTGCTTCGTAATTTGCGAGCTCGCTTTTGATATTTTTACTATTAGTTCCGTCAGCTTGGAGCAATTGAACACCAAATTGATTCATCAAAGAGTTGTGGTGTTTCTGCCAGGCAATACCTGGAACAAGTACCACCATGAATTTAGGATTACACCTGCCAGTCGGCCATATTCAGTCATTATATTGATGTAGTAACCACCACCACACAAAGGAGACATTATGGGCAGAATGTGCATTACCTAAACACAAGTTGCACCCTGTGACCCGAGTAATGTGATGCCACTGATGTTGAAACAATTTAAAACTTGGTGTGCTTGTATAACAGGGGATTAGAACAGTGATTTAGACATATCACCTTTAACTTTGTTTTGGTTGCTTGAACAAATTGCTCTGTTGTACACCTCAGGTTTATCCCACGGGTAAGATGTTAAAATCTCTTTCTCCTGTAGCACTAACAAAAACCTGAATCTGTTCTGAATAACCAACAACCTCATCACATTACTGCTCAAATTGGTACACAAAACTGAAAATGCTTCTATGTTAATAATTTATATGTTAAACACTAGTTCATTATTTATGACAAATCAAAATATGTTTTTATCATAATGTTTATGTTGTAGCATAACACTATGGTGTATAAACATAAGCATGTCTGGCAAAATATTGACATACCATTTCACACCTGGTAAAACGTGACAGTTCATACACATATTTGGCAGTTTGAATTGTATTAGAAATTCATCATATTATTGTATCACAATATTTTTGTCATCATATCAACAGTCACTAGTAAGTGATTTGTCACACAGGTCACAGCAATGACCCCTCTATATTTTGTCCTAGTTGAGTAACTTCACAACATATGGATGTGATGCCATCTTTACTGAAGATGTTATTCACAAAATGTTTTTTCCATATCCATGCATATGGGGGCACAATCATCGATAACCTTTGACCCAGTTTGATGAAGCAAAGGTGAATATTTTCCTCTATAGGCGTTACAAGTCTTTGCCAGGTCTAGGAAAAGTCTTTACCTGGAATTGTCTGCTACTTTGTTGTGCAGAACAGTTTTCTAGGAATTGTCATATCCTGAGTCCAAAGTAAACCTTCTGGAGTTAATTATAGCTCATAAGTTTGTACGAGTTCTTTTTTTTGTCTCCTAAGACGACAGCCTTTTAAGGACAACAATAAATAACACTGCTACTGACATTTTCATCAATATATATATAAGTGTTATTATTTTTCTTCTCTCCTTCAGAAAATAGCACTCTTCATATATTCACTAGGAAATTCACATTTAATGTTAGTTTCATTTTAGTACAATACAGATTTTGTGTAGGTATCACATCCCATAATATGCATCAGCAGTCATTCCATATTAGGATATACATTATATGTATAATGAGCACCCATATTCGGCCGTTTTTTCATTGAGACATTTTAATTACTACAAGTGAATTCCCACGTGGTAGTCATCGGTCTTCACCGATTGGTTTGTCTCATAAATGCCACTTATGAATTCACCTCCACTACTGAATATGATGCATACATCTCTAGTTTATGCATCTCATTATCAAATGTCCTTATAAGGACCAACTGGGCTATTCTACTTCACAATAGTTCTACAATCCAGTTGGCCTTGTGGAGCACCAGTGATGTGTTTGCTTATGAGACATATATCTGCCGTTGGAGTCAAAACTCTTCAGGGTGTGCACAGCCTCTGGAGGCATCCTTTCATACAAGATTCTAGCCTCCTTCACAGAGGTCGCGCACCATCACAGCCACATTGCATAGGTTAGTAAAGTCATCGGTACACTGATCATAACCATGATCCTCTGTCCTCTTCCAAGACAGTCGCCGCGTCCAACCGACCCATTACACGGAAAATGTTCATTAAATCTGTAACAGCTGTTTCTTCTCTGTGTCGAGCCTCCCACAAATCCAGTATGTGTTCTGTAGGTGAACCCTTTGTTGCAAAGAACTGAACATACCTGAAAGCCAAGCAAACAATGTACCATTAAAATTGATGTTTGATGTTCCAGTACAATCATAAGAAATATGTTTCTGGGAGGTTAGCATTTGTTTAATGTTGTTTCAATATCTTTTGACGTAATCCATTTGACTTTGGGATCAGTATTTAAACATCTGACAATAGTAAACAAATCTTTTGTTTTAAAATATAAAGCCATACTTATAAAGATTTTCTCCAATATAGGAGAAATAAATTGTAAGAAATCGGTTCAGAATACCAGTAATCACCCCAGCAAAACAAACCCAGCATCTCCCTGATTCTAACTTTAGTACAAACTTGCAAATGACTGCACAAAGTCATCATCATTTCAAGGCAGTTAAGCTACACTTCCTATCTTTTTTATACAAGCATAATCCCCCATCTTTTCCCCTAGTCATTCGGGAAGCTGTCGGGATTATATATAAGTCTAACTGAGCAAATTCGTCTCTGTGAAACTAGGCTTGCAAACTCTATGAAATGCACATGTAAAGAAACTTCAAATCACACACCATTACCCTCATGCTGCCCAGTCATCCATCTATGTATCCCCCAATATCTCGGCCCTTGAATTTTCTAGAGTGGTGGAGTGATCTCCTCTACTTAATTATACACCTTACCATTTTTTGTAAGTATCCCAGTCTTACACAGCGTAAATAACAAGATTTATGACTTACAACCTAGGACAATATTTTTTCAAATGACACTTTTGTTTGCCAGAGAAAGAATTGAAACATGATCACTAATTCACACCGTACAGAATGGGGAAACATTCAAGTCTGTTTCTGATGTTTTATGGTTTATAACACAATCATATGTATCTGATGGAAGAGTTCAATTCTGACAAATTGTTAAAAGAAATTGTGTTGATTCAATCATTTTAGAATTAGTCAAATCAGGCACTTATAAAAGAACAGGCTAACAAATTTACAGGAATTGTCAGTGGATATTGCAAACCTTGTCCTAGCTCCTAAAACTTGAACAATACAACTACTACAGCTAAGGAAGAGATAAAGTGCAGCTACTATTAGCCCTCACAGTAGGAGAGTTCTCATGTAGAGGTCCATGTCTGCTTCCTGTTGTTTCTACATGATAAATGCTGGATTTACCAACAACTTCACTGATCTATTTTTAATTCCTTCATTATTGATGGAGATTTACCTCCAGGTCAGACCAGTAAATTAGTTAGAACAATAGCTGTCAAGTAGGTGATTGCTTCAAACCTCAGCTGTTTTCCACAGTCAGATATTTATAAAATTTTAAAGACTGTGTTTTTTCAATACATACCTATCTACTGTGAGTGCCTGTGCTAACATCCTCCAGTCATTGCCCCGTGCATTTGGAGGGTCTAGTAACATACACAATCTCGTCCTTATATGTGTTGGCAGTCGGAAGTTTTGACCTTGAGGGTCAAGTGTTACCATGGAGCTGAACCCTGAACTGGAATTGGTGGTTACTGTTGACGACCTTCCTTTGAGTGTTGAGGAGGGTGTAGAACAAGATGTCGGTTTCTAGAATAAAAATTAGATATATCCATTTCAAACATTTTTTCCCAATAAAGATTAACTAAAGTGGATGTATCATTTTCATTTAAATGGACACCAAAACAACCATACTTTGTTGGAACTAGACAAGAAAGTGAGCTAACCTACTTCAAAAAGGAGAAATGGAGAGACAACTCACCTCCTTGAAATTGTTGCTGATGTTGAGGACCTGCCTGTTACTAAGAATAGCTTTCTGGTACACCTGTATTTTACAGCTCACTTTGTGATAGGCACGATCCACTAACTCCAGAGAGAAAGAACAGTGCAGGTTGTTCTGTGTTCCACTCCAAATATGTTGAAATGGAATTTCCTGCAAAGATACAAAATATCAAATATGACTTAAAACTGAAAAATCCCTTCAACAATGGCATCAATCAGTAAAGATGCAGTTCTCCTTAATAAAAATATCAAATATTGCTCAATGTTTTTCAAATCTGACAAACCTATTAATATTAATCAAAACACACATAACCAGCTTGGTAAAGTCTAAGTTATAATTAAGGATACTGATACATTGAAATAAACATGGATTTGGCCATAAGTTATCAACTTCCAATGTTGCCATTGGTGAACAGATATTTCAAGAAAATTGAATATTCAATTATATAAATGCGGGATGCACAAAGTGCTCCATAACCATCCTTATTGTGTTAAGAGACTGTTGGTATGCATTAAACAGCACTTGATCAAATTAAGTAGCAATATCTGGGTACTAGGGACAGCAGTTTTCATCATTTCATCTGTCATATTGACACTGAAAAGTGAATCTATTCTAATCAATGATGGGGAGAACACAATGGTGGAGTCCAGATTGGAAGAAATGAGTCGGAGATGCTTATATCACCTCCATTTCATCTGTTAGATTTTATATTACCCTTATAATTTACGAGCCCCTATACAAAAGTTTGACAAGAAGAATTCCTCTACTGACCCTCTCACTTTGTAATCTAACTAAGGGGTTCACTGCATTATCCTTGTACAAAGGGAGAGAATCAAGTGTCGAATTTATGTATGACAGTGGTGGAGATTTGGTGACATACAGCATAATACAAGAGACTGGTGTACATTACACCTGAACATAAGACCTTTATTTGAATTAAGGTAATCTCTTAACACCTTCTGTTTCTGATGGGCATGAATCCTGATATTTTATCAGGTTTCAGTTTCTTTTATACTACATTTTCCTTAAACCTTAAAGGAAATTTTGCTTGTCGTCATAAAACAAAATAAATAGGGAAAGCGGATATAAAGAGGGGGGGCTTCTCATATTATCTACATGGTGAACAGCTATCTCCATCTCTTCCTCCTCTCCCTCCCCTCCCAAACTGACCTTAGGGTGGTACTGACATGCTACCCCCACAATAACAGACGGCTTTCGCTAACAAAATTAAAAAAACAAAAACAACACACCCACCCATCTGTTTGGGATGTCTCCTCTACCCTGGGAGGTATACCATATAATACCAGTAGAATCTGAGGACAAGAAATGGGAGCCTGACTGTGTCATCTTGGTTTAATAGTTCATTCATTATTGTAAATGTAAAAGTAATCGTAGTATGATCTCCCAGGCAAATGAACAGTTGACAAAACGAAAGGCTCATAAATCATAAACGTGACAAAAGTGACTTCAATTGGGGGCATCTGTTTAAACAAATCCCTTCAGAGCTAGATTGATGGTGTTACCAAAATGATTCCCCCATGGAAATTTTACAGAACCTATTTTTCATGTCTTCAAAATGCACCACCATGTGGAGATGATAGGCATGAGACAGGGGGAACCTCTAGTACACATTAGCCCCTAAATGACCCTGTCTGCACCTTCACTGCCAAATCTCCAGTTCAACCTGCTCATTTGTTAATTTTGTATTATCAGGGCTCAACATTTTAGTCAAAGTGACACAGCTGGTGGAATTAGCCCTACCCAAGTGGCTAGATAAGTCTGTCATTATTCACCGATATCTATCACTAAGTCACTTTGCCTAAATCATTTTACATTTTTAGCCAATTAACATAACAGTATTCTAAAGATTCTACAGAGCTTCCCCGATCTTTTATACAGATAACTTATACTACTCTCTTTACTCTAATATACATAATTACTTCAATAATCTTTTATCAGTGTTTTGAAACACTCAGCAAATATTTTTAACAAGTACCGATACTGTTTATGCCTAGAATTAACTCAGAATCTCAAAACTGAATCCTAAATCACTTATTTCTATGTTTTTATTTGAAATCTTTTTCAAACACACACAAAAGATGTTTTCTAAAATCATTTCTGGCTCCATAGCCTGTAATTCTAACGTCATATAATTTCCATTTTACCTATTTTTTTTGGTTTTAGTTAAACATTGCTTCCAACCTAAAATTGCCACTGCACGATAAATATATCAATTTTCTCCAGAATGCATAAAGCATGACAGCCAAAGTTCTACCCAACCATCCATTTAAACTGCAATGAGAAGTTTATCTGTCAAAATTGCACAAAAAATTCTTACTTTAATTCAAAATGATTGGGAGCCATGATGGAGAATTACACTCATTAGAATCTCTTGGAGAGAAAATTTATCTTGTGGTCTTACATTACTTGAAATATGAAATGTACAATTATATTGTCAGAATCCTGCAGCAGCTGTGTGCAGCATTGCAACTGTGGCGAGCAACTTATCAGATTTGTCCTGTATTAATTGTCTCCCCATCATCTCAAGCGATTTTATTTGTGCAGGTGCATGGGTCGCAGTAATTTCTAACTTTTTCAAATTCCTAAAAAGACAAAAGAATTCCTATGACAATAGCATCCAAATCAGAAAATATTTCCATTATCAATAAAAAATTTATATTGCGACTTATCTGTCCTAGACACATTGGCTTTGCTTCCGCACGCTCGAGATATTTGTCCCATCTGAGCTCGTAAACAATGTCTTTATTTTCTCTCAAAATATGTGCAATGTTTTCTTAGGTCTAATGAATTCATGGTCTCCATATTCATTGAGGAAATGAGTTAGTGTCCAAATTAAATAGACATAGAATGCTACCACTCTGAACAATTAAATAGAACTGATCTCCAAGACCACTACCACCATTTGCCAGTCTGTCTGTAATTTACACAGGCTACTGTTACAACTTCTGGAGATGAGAACAATGGCTGGCTCTCCATGTCTTGTTTTATTAACAATGTGATGTCAAACAATCATCCATCATGGCCCAATTTGTGTTTGGGGGTGAGAATATCTGCTGCAACTCCTCCCACTGCCATGTGGGGAGACAATAAAAGAAGACAAGGTAGATATCTGATCCCACCAGCTCTGTCACAATACACTGTAATTATGCTGATTTATGCATGTCATACAAACACTGTAGTTGTATTAAATGATATGCTCCAATACTTCCGTTTCTATTTGGTATATAAAGGACACAGACATTTATCAATTTGTCCAATTTAGGTGTATGTATCTAGCCTTAAATCTCCACAACCTCCTCTTAATTTGCCCCTACTTTTGTTCACAGGTAAAACATTTCATGCGAACTTTTCGTCAAACACATTTGTTATTTTCTTTCAATAATAGACAAGTTTCAAACAACCAATATTATTTCTCCTCCTACTTCAATCCATCCTAACAACTTCAGTTATTCAACCCTGTGGCTTCCATCCAGAACATCCCCCAGTGACATCGAATTGAGATCAACCAACCTGACCATCCCTCAGTGACATCAAATTTAGATCTACCAACCTGATCATCCCTCAGTGACATCAAGTTTAGACCTACGACCCTGATCCTCCTCAGTGACATCAAATTTAGATGACCCTCCCTCAGAGACATCAAATTTAGATCTACCACCCTGATCCTCCCTCAGTCACATCAAATTTAGATCTATCAACCTGATCACACCTTGGTGACATCAAATTAGATCTACTATCCTGACCATCCCTCAGTGACATCAAGTTTTAGATCTACCAACCTGATCACACCTCAGTGACATCAAACCTGAGTCTACCTTCCTGACCATCCCCAGTGACATCCCACGAATCCCTGTGTGACATCAAACCTGTGTCTTGCACCTGAGCTTTCCATCCTGAAATACCTTGGTGACATCAAACCTGACACTATCTCTCTGCCAATCCCTCAGTGACACTGAACTTGCACCCTGACCACCCCTTTGTAAGATCAAACATTTCCTACCCAGTTAATTACTCAGTTACAGACCTGAGATTCCCACCCTGACAATCTCATAGCCTGCCAATTTCTCTGACCCTTATGGATTATAAAAGGTCAAACGCCATATAAGCTAATTCAGATTTGTATCAGTTTAATGATTCCTTTCATAAATGTCAGTCCAGTCAGCATCACCTCAGTAACTACTACTAAAACCATCTGATATAGTAGCCATTATATATCATTTTATTTATCAACAGTACAAGTCTGGTATGCTTTGTACAGGTCCTCTCAGGCTTTCTCAGCCAGATAGCCATACATAGTGGTACCTCAGGTAATCCAGTTCTGTTGTCTATAATTTACATATCTGTATGATATTTATCCTGTAACAAGCCCATGCTTAGTAAAAAGCATAGCCAAATTTATTTCAATTATTACAGGGTAAACAACATAATGGACCTGAACTAGTAAGTATCTATATTTGCGATAACACATGACAATCTCTTCACTGAAGATGTGATGTTTTTTCTAGACAGATACTGGACATGCTTTGTGCAGTATATCACATGACACAATATCATTTCCACATAGATGCTTTGGAACACCACCTACACGTAGTATTGAAGTATCATTAAGTACAATAATAAAGACATACCTGGTAGTTTGCCGCCAATTTACTTCTCCAACCAGGGGTGAGTTCTTCAATAGTAAGACACAAATTGTGTCCACCATCTTGGAATGGTATCTGCTTGGGCTTATCAAGTAAACGTCCTCCAAACTTTCTCTCCTCTTGTATCACACTCTGGAAAGTTGAAAGGTGAACATGAAAATTGTTTTTATCTCTAAGATAGTGAAAACATTATATTACTTCCAAATTTTTCCAAAATAATATTCTAACCAAATTTCTTACATCAAATAAACCAATATAGATTTTTCAAAGTTTCACACACTTAACATACTCGAGCATGTTTTTATGAATTTTTTATCATTCAATCTATATAGTGAAAACATTTGTATGAAACACGATACTGAATTTAAAACTTACTTCTAATGCATCCTGGGTATCTTCTACTACATACACTCTGATGCTGAAATCCATTGAAGGAGGCATCATAGGGGCAAATGCAGCCAGACGAAGGATTTTAATTGGTTTGCCCCCATGGATGGCCTCCCCTATCAGGGCATATCTCTGAAGGTATTCTGTCATGATGTGACAGTGGCTTGGATCTAGCTGAGCATATATTGGTGTATTTATTGTTTCCTGTCCTAGGGTGACAATTTTCTGCAAGAATTAAATTTGAAAATCATAGATAAGTTCGAAATATGATAAAGATTAAAGCTTAAACGTCAGGTTGTGTTTATTTGGACTCTCTCTTAAAATTTCTTTTCACAGATTTTATAAATAATATAGGTGTTTGTTCACTGGCTGGGACCTTACAGTTACTTACATGCCATCGTGGGGGTTCGTCTGTGGGCGTATCACTGGTACAAAGGGAGAGCATCCATCCACCCTGTCGCATGTTGGCACAGTGTTGTAGAGATAGAATAACCGGCTTCTGCATGTCATGTTTGACAGGACCAACCAGGATCACGGGACTTATTACAGTTTGATGATCTGTTTGAAAATTCAAATTTTATTTTTAGATTAATTTACAAAAGTTCATCCCAAAAGTTCCCATGTCTTAAATTGAATTTATCCCAAATGTCCCCATGTTATACATAGAGTTCATCTCAGAGGTCACCATGTCTTACATAGAGTTCATCTCAGAGGTCACCATGTCTTACATAGAGTTCATCTCAGAGGTCACCATGTCTTACATAGATGGGTTTTCAATCCACCGTCATGTATAAATATCATGTTATTCAGGCATAAATGGTATCACAAGACTTCAAAAATATCAGTTGTTATTCGAATACCTTAATTTTTCAGCATCCTATTTCTCAATGTGAATAATTTGAATATGTAACATCGTTTTCAACAGTCAATCACATATATTTCTTAAACATCAGTTTTATAAAATCAATCAACACTGCTATAAATTACTGTCACTAATAATATACAAATATTTCAACTTTAAACATTTTTTTTTTTAACTGAGTAGACGATTTTCTCTCTACTGCCTATTTAATGAAGTTATGTTTCAGCAAAGAAAGACATCTGCATTTTAATGTCACATCACTGTCACCTCCGATGAAAGATTAGGACATGGTAGAAACACAATTTGAATTTTTATTCACTTTTTGAGCTAACACCATCAAAGATTTCCCTATCACACTTACATATCTGATGATTTATGCAAACGTCATCACTTTCTACGCCATCCCCGGTGATGCATTTCTACCCGTCATTAGCAGTGCGGGAGAGGTTGAGGGAATCATTGAGTTTGATCAAGTAATTAGCGTATTATTTGTTTATCATACTGACTATAGGTAGGCTATCTGTTCAGATCAGAGTCTACCTGCCTGGAGGAGCAAAAGTTCACATCAGATAACGGAGAACACTTAGCATACCTGAGAGTTTAGGCCGGTCTTTGTCGTCGCGACACACCGCAATGAACAACTCCTCTGTATGACCCTTTTTAATGGCTCCCTCAGGCACCGTTAGTGCAACACCTGTGCATAAAAAAAATATTTAATTTCAATACACTTAGTTATAACTCAGTAAGAAGTAAGAATTCTATCACTATCTTTCTGTATGTATATAAGCTATTACAGAAGTACATTGAATTGACAATATGATAATATACTCTACATCATTTCCATTTCAATTTTGAGACGTCCATAAATAACAGACAACCTGTTAACACAGATGTCTGAAAGCCTCCTCTCTCTAGAGTTAATGTGGCCCAATATCGACCTGATTACTAGTTTTTAAGGATTCATCATGCAAATCATTATCATTCTTAAAATGTCAAAAGAAAATCAACATTTCTTGTTGTAATGGATGATGATATCATTTGCATTCCCTCAAAATTGAAAAATTTTATCGTGAGGTTTTTTCTCGCATTAGAAATCAAATTTTATCAGATTATATTCAGACTTATATAGCCTGGGGGTCTGCAAATCAGTAAACATGAAAATGGAATTGCCAAATTATGACTACGATAATTCACTAAACAAAGCCGAGACTCACTAACACTATTAAAATTTATAGTATCAGTAAACAAAATCCTGGTTACCATGGAAACAGAGTTATCATGGAGACCAAGTAAGCATCATAAGAATCCAGTCATATTGCACTGAAAATGAACTTCTATCAGTAACATGATTTCATCAAGTTTCAATGGTCTAGGTCTGATCATTACAGTTTCATTGTATCATAACCCTACCTCGCTATTATTTCTTTGACAATTTTTCAAATTTTGAAAGCAGATTCGCCAGCCTCATTTTAAAGTTTTACAGCTAATGGTGTAAAAGTTTTGTTACCTGACTCTGGGAGTACGAGACGTCCACCCTGATGATTGAATGTGCTCCATGCCACAGCCTCCATGTCGATATTGCTAGGTAACTGAACGGACATCATAGACTGGCGACTGTCCATTACATTGTTGTTTTGTATTGTTGGTCGAGGGCCGAGCGGAACAGGAGGAGGAACATCTTTCTCATAAGGTAATTTTTCCTGAGGTCTATTATTCATAAAAGTAGGTTCTACAAAAAGTGTTTTGCCATTTTTGGTTAGAGTGCCTCCTGATAAACGACAGTCCGGACTGATGTCAGGTTTATCGTAAATGTTTTCCACAGAGCTGACGTTGTTGTTTGGAGCCTCTATACTTGGACTGCGCGAGATTCCATTACTCATATTATTATGTTGAACAATCACCACTGTCTGTGTTAGGTCAGGAGGTACAGAAACCACACCTACAAAGCACACACAGTTTTATAATTTCATATAATAAAACTTTCTCCAATGAAAAATACTTCAACTGTTTTAATTCATCTATATCAATGTGTCAATAAGTCCTAATTCAATTTGTTTTATTTTCTAAAGCAGTAAACAGTCTTCAGTTCTCAATCCAAATTTTTGTCAAAGGAAATAGATTACAGGAAGATCAATGATCAATTTGACCTTGTCCAGTTTGCTGGACCTAAAAATAGATTCGTCTATCTGGCTATATTGGTTCTCATGCAGCAAGAAATACAATCAAGAAATAGATCGACCATTAGTTGTTCCAAGACGTGACCAGTAGGGCCATCCATTTGTCTGGCCATCTCACACCTGCTAATCTCTCGGCCATTAACCCACTAATTGATTTCTATTGTTAGAATACCTGTTATTTCACCTATAAAATACGTCTTCCTCTCTAAAGATGACAAATGATAGATGGCTTCTCTGAAGCACTACATAATGTACACCAAATTAATACAGAACCAAATCTGGTAAAAGTGTTGTCGTGGCCTCAAACAATTACCATGTTACCAACACATCAAATCATTCATATGTTCAAGGTTCTCATCATATTTCATCAGAATCCATCATCTGTGAGGATGGCTGACAAATATATTGGCTGGTCTACAGAGCTTACTACAAGGGCTGAGATGTACAGAGGGCACACTAATACCACTATAGGCTAAGGAAGAAATCCACTTGTGTTGAACCTGATCCTGCTGCTGGGCCAGGATGCCTATCACTTACATCAGAGAGTACACTCTTCTGCAGGTGTCTTGTAAGACAATAAAAACACTTCAAAACCCCCGCAGACATAATAAAACCTCATACTTCTTTTATTATTTTGAAATTATTCTTCATATTCCAGCTACAAGTATTTTCCATTTGTTTAACTTCTGATACATACCATTTCCATTTTTGTTAGCCTTCTTTTCCTCATCAGTCAGAGGTGGCTGATGTCTGTCTAAAAACAGAAATTTCTTAAATTAAAATTCCATGTTTTTTTTTTCACAAAACTATAAACTATAATTTAATGATTGAATAACTTTATCAGCAAAAACCTCTCAAACAAACCCTGTCATAACGTATCCTCACATATCACAGGAGTGTTAATTTGTTCAGATTTCTAACTTTTATGATTGTTTTTTGATAAAGTATGTGGTATTTTTTTGTCCAACATGTAATTAGGATTTCACATCAACAGGATCACAAAACCAAACCTATATCCTTTTTATATCCGTTTTGAACTTGGAGATAAACCTGAAGTTTAGCTGAAGTTTATCATGACGTCAAAGAAAAAAAGCAAGTTTTAAATTTTGATCTGAGGAACTGATATACAGGTCAGATGTTTTTTGAGAGCACCTGGTCTTTGGAAGGTGACAAATGTACCGTTTAAGTGTGGTTTGGCATTTTTTATTGTTCCTTTTGTAAATTTTGAGCAGGCGTGGTGAAGCCCCCATATCTTATCGGACAAATCTTACTCCGGGTCGGATAAATGCTTGTAGACATGCTAGCCTCAACCCTCTTACAAGGTTAGCCCTATCAAAAACTCTTTTCTGAAAATTGAATTCTTCACAAATGGGAAAATTGCAAAATTACATTTAAAAATAATTTACTGGTGTCAGTGACCAATGTCGCTCTATCATTTCGCCACAGAATAAAATGACACGTTTAACAATTTTTTTCCTCCATCTGTCAATAGTTCAGCCAAGGAGCAACCAAACTGACACAACTACTCCTTGTACAAAGTAACACACCTAGTCATTTCTCTTTAATGTGTATTTCACAAAATATTGAACCACAGCTGTTCTGGCTAATTTAAATTTGACCTTCTGGTGAGCTTTCTATCTTATCTCCTCTCCTATCAAAATTGTTTTATTTGATTTTATTTCAAAAACAAGAAACATAACCTTTCACAATTACAAACTCTCATACAATCTGGAAAATAATCTAATTTTTCTTTCATCCATTCAGCAGCTAATTCAAATTTAGAATTTTCTTTATCCATTCTGGTTAAAATGCAATAAATCTCCACGAGCTCCTGACTGTGGTTTTGTGACACACAACCTAGGACTAAATTGACTATCACACCAAGAAAGTCCCAGAAGGCCTAGCTATGGAGCAGACCGGTTTGTTTTAGATGTTTCATGTTAAAAGATTCTATCACATCAACAGTCTATGACCGGCTAAAGGTCCAGTGAGGTGACAATACACACAAACACTTTTATGATATTTCTGCAACATTAGAAAGCTGGTGTGAAGTATTGTCTTTATAAACAACAGGTCCGCCTTGTCAGGACCACTGATAGTACCTAACTATTAACCTCTGATCAGATCTTGTTTATTGGAGGTGTTTTTTTCATTGATATAAGTACCCAAAATCCAAATTGTTTTGATTTCCTATAAACCAGTCAGTGAAGGTGTTAACGAGTCTTTGACTGATTCCTGCCAAAGGTTAATGGATGTAGGGGCTACTTTTAATACCTTTTCATAGAGTATTTTCCATTAGGGGTTACTAATAAGTTCAAAAGGAGAGTGAAACCTTTTCATTGGCCAGTCTATACCTGTAAAGTATATATGAATGGTTTAACCTTTGACCCCAGATGAAATATAGATATGGAAGGGGAGGAGTTAAACTTAAGGTGAGGGTAATTGATTTTATGGTTACAAAGCCCATTTGAGCATGCAGCTGTCAAGATCAATGTCCTGGGTCCAAGACAGACCCACCAGTCTAACCCCCATAAAAAAAACACACACATCTGCATCTATAACAACATAACAAATCTGGGTACTGGCCCTATTTTCAGATAAGTCAACAGTTAGACGGAAAATATGTCCTTTCCTCTCCCAAACCTTTGGTGGACAAACAGCTGACCTACATGATGTCATTCTATAAACAATAAACATTTCCATTGTGTGCCTCACATGTGCCTACTAATTATGAGATAAGGTGACACATTTCGGCCATGGACCTGTGCTGAAATGTTGATGGGACCCATTCTGACATCGCCTGTCCACTTTTCCTTTCTATAACCATGAATCAGTCAATATACAACGACAGGTGTGTCTTCACTTCTCTCCAACAAGCACCCCTTTTCAACATTTTATCGCATTTGAAGAAGCAGGCAGATACAAGATGACACATTTCATTAGGATAAAGCTCTGAATATCTAGATGTGGTTCGTTCTTGATATCCATTATCAGACTCAACTTACTCACATCAGTACAATGTGAATACTTACTGTTGGCATTTTGACTTTTCCTTCTGATTGCCAAGGCAACCAGGATGACAAATATGGCAAGGACCACAATAGACACACAGATTCCAATATAAAGGGCTATGTTTCCACTTCCTGCATTGGGTCCAATTGTTGTGGCTACAACATAAAGAAAACATTTGATATTTCTACACTTCACAATTTGAAAATATCTTGCAGTGGTTTTATTCATAATTTGTTTGTATCAAAACCTAGCATATCTGACAAAGAAACAAAGTTCAAACAAAACTAAAACGGGATTTTCCTAATTAAGTTTGTTTAGTTGATAATATATGTCAAGAAAATTACAAGGTATTTTCATCAAATTCTCTGAACTCTGTGTTACCAGTAATAGAAAACACATGAATAACATTTTATTTCCCAGCAGCAAAAATTGAGCAAATCTGAGATTCTTAATGAAATAAGTATATCTTCCTACAGCTTTTGATCTGATCAGTTCTACCAAGGAAAGGCAGGCAAACACAACCTGGCTTGCATTACACAGTCACTTAGCATTCAAATGTTTCAAAGAAGCAGACGTCTGAGGCTGCGAAAGGCTTCCTCAGGAGAAATACCATGATTTATCTAACCCTCTAAAATTGTGTTCATAAATTTAAAAACAAAATTGGCCAATAAATCTTAAAATGCAAACACAAGAATCCAAACCAGCATCTGTTTAGTCTAATTTAAATGTATGCAAGTGTGAAATATAAAGCAAAGTGAAAATTAACGCGTTTTTTCTTCTCTTGAAAACTTGCAGGAAACTTAAATTTATGAGGAAATATGACAGTAAATCTTAACTCACAGGACATGTTAAGCCCATAGAGTATAATCAGGAGGCTATTGTCTTGGTCAATCACATTAGTGAATACCAATTGGTAAAATCAAAGTTCTCAGGCAAATTGGTTATAAGTGGTAGCTTAAATTTCCCCAAAAATTAAAGTGTTAATCCCAATCATGTTTCTGACATCCCAATTAGGCTTACATTGTGTCTTTATTTCCTCTCCCGTTCCCACAAATTATTCAGGAATCGTAAACATTGATGAAAATTACTCTTCTATAATCTGTGCTATCTGGCTACAAATTTGATGCGCCTGAAGTGCAATGATGCACAATGTTACTAGGCATTCAGCGGGCGACCTAGCTTATCTGACGTGAGAGAAGCTTGACGCTTATAAATCAAGACATATCTTGTTGCCCCAATATCTGGTGAGGCACTGAGACATCTGCTACGTACAGTGCAGTGTCTGCAACTATCTACTTGTGACTTTATAACATAGATGATTCTAACCCTTTTTTTTTCCTCAAGAATTTTCAAAGTGCACAAAATACAACATCTGGCACAGATGATGTGAGTTTTATGCTTTTTATATATGGAGGAGTCCCTTCATGTACAACACTGATTTGACTTTTCTTATACTCTTTTAACAGTAGATGTGATTCTTTATCATAAATTTCCTTAAAGTAACTTAATGATAGAAATCAAATTAAATATTGCTAGTTTACAACTTTGATTAACATTATTTTTTTACTGCATACTATCTGTAGATCAAGAAATTTCAGTTGATTGATCAAAATTCATGATCACACAAACTCAATGAACTGACAAAAACTGTCAGTGTTATAAAACAAAAAAATTCAAAGAATTTCTGAAAAGTTCATACAAATATCTCAACATTTTATAAATTATAAAGCATTAAAATTGTTTAAAAAATAATTGGCATCAATTTCAAAATTTCAAATTACAGGGATCCTGGCGTTTATTTGAGAAATGTGTTATGTCATGTGACCTGTGATTGGTGATTTTCATTCCCAAGCCAAGACTGAGTGAAGTGAGAATGGGAGATGGATGAAGGTTTTGGAAGGTTGTGCATGCTAATTTCCAGGGACAAAATTAGACCAGGACAGCTATCCATCAGATTGCTAATGAGAGGTGATCCGTCAACATACCTGTTTTTACTGGGCCTCTCATATCCCCATACAGTGTTCTCTCTGTAATAAATTAATACCTCATAAATGTCAACTTGTATGCATACCATTACCATAATTTACTTAAAACTTTCAAAGAATAACGTCTGTGTTGGGAGGCTTTGTATCCTATCTACTCCAACTATTAAAACTTGGATAAAACATACATACACTAAAGATTAAATTATAGATCGTTTCTGTCGCACTGGTTCACTTGTATGACCTCCTCAACAGCTGTCACATCATTATACATTGACTTTTACACGACAAAACATTTTTTTAATACAATATTACAAATACAATATAAAGTCAATATTCATGATAAAGTTGGAGTCATAAAAAACCATGTAATGATATGTGATCAGAAGGCCTCCCTTTGCGGCATTGTTGTTTACATATGTTTATTATTTATCTGTGAAAGGACAATGCTGGATGGTCACAGCTGTGTTACCTAATTGGAGCGGCATTTGGTTACACAATATCTAATGACAAGGTACACAGGTAAGGTCTTCACATACAACACTTACACATTCTCTCCACATAACTAGAACATATTAAACGTTATTCATTACAACTACATACTCAACTGGAATTTCTGGATGGAATTGTTAATAAGCAAATTTTTTTTTGTGTATAAACTAGACTTGCAATGACAGAATTAAATCTGTCATGTATCTGATGTCAGCAATGTGATAATCACATTTCACATCATATATTTCATTAGTATTGATTGGGTGACCACTGGTGACCACTGGTGACCACTTGTGACCAAAGAATCCTTATCCTGATTAGGTGACCCACGTTTCTCAGACAAAGGTGGCCCCATCTCCCTGGACAGTACAGTAATACTATGGACACAATCCACATTCAGTATTCTACTCAGGCAGATTAAGTGACCACAGCATCACAGTTGTAACTGAGACAATCTGTGGTCATCTGCAGCTCATCTCGGCTATGATGAAGCAATAGGTATTATCTACAGCCCTGATAATAATCTCCTATAGGACATCACTCTAAATGTCACCACTAGGATGGAAAGCTAAATTAAACAATGCTTCCACAAAGAGCATTACCAATAGTTCAACACTGACTGACAAGTACAAATCCTGGATAATTGTTTATTTGTTGATATTCTTATGGATATCTGATATGACCAGGTGATTCCAGGTCAGTTTATTAATAAAGTGAGATATAGATACACATGTAATTGACCATGGTGTAGGTAGCCCATCACTGCTACCTTTATTCAGGGAGGCCAGAAATATTTTTCTCAGCTATATGTCCAAATGAACAACACATGCTAGAATAGTGAAATAATAATGATATTTCTCTGGTCCACTTTAAGATAAAACTAATGTACTCAAGACAAAAGTACTCAGATCAAAGTGTGGTACCAATTCAGAATCACTGCCCACAACAAACACTTGATTAGATTTTAATCTCTGCCAGTCATTCACCACCAGCCATGGGAAAGGCCCCCAAAATATACCACCAGCACCAATCATCTCATGAAATATTACCTGGTCTAATCACATGATCACCCCCCCTTAATAAGTTGATAACTGTTTCTAATCACTAAAACTCTTTAATCGGGTATAAAATCAAGCCACCTACATTCCACGGGGAATAGAAGCTCTACCTTCCAACTCAAGAGCTTTAATGAACAGTGACAAAAAACAGAGACTGTCTGTCTACCTGTTTCAAGAGCCTATACATTGAATCTGTTATATCAGAACTGCAGGGATTTGCATCATTTTACAAAACTTCTGATAATACAACTTAACACTACAAAGCAGGTCTACACTATATACAAACCCTTAAATGTATGCTTTCCGTTTTTGGGGTTTTTTTTTAATATGGTGAATGTTTTTCACTTTTTCATCATGTACACCCAAACTATTACACTTTCAATAAAGAGGCTGTACATAGATATTGTTGTAACCATCTTATTTTGGAAGTTATGATTCTCCACACAATGGATTCCTAGCATGAACCTGTCAGAATAATCAGATAACTGTCGAGTATAGAACAGTGAAGCATCACAAGAATAACACCCCAATTACATCTACCCAGGTAATTACGGCTACACAGGCAAAATGGACGAGTGTATCCTACTGATGTGTAAGAAATCATTGAATAGGTAGCAGGTTCATCAATGATTGATTAAGCCGTCTGCTCCTGTGGGGTTAATCTGACGAGAGTGGATCGCCAGCCAAATCACATCAAAATAAAGTGTAAAAAGCATCATCGAACCCAGCCTTGTAAACAGGTAACAGAAAAATACACACTGTAATTACCACAGAGGGAGGACAAGTATCCATTATCATCAGGCGTGTACAAAAATCCTAGGGAGCTACTTCATGACCTCTGTATTCTATTTTCACTTCTAAATAGTTTACTTCTAATGTAGAAAGAAACAGCTTCTTACTACTAGACTTTTTCTATAAATCATTATCATTAAATGATATGTAAGCTTTACTTTTTCCTCAGTTAAAGATTTCCTGCCTGTCTGGCTGGCCGTGGAAGAATATAGTGACGTGTAAGAACATCGAAAGATTGTGTAAGTGTTCACAAAAACTAAATCTAGAGGAAACATATTACATAGCCACTCACAACCATTATATAAACATACATCACATCTTATACCAACACAATATTTTCACGAGATCCCAGAATTTGTTTATAGAGGTAAAAATGACACCAATTACAGGGAGAGAGTCTGCTCTGAAACAAACACAACTATCTACTAGACATCAAAAGCTAATTTCCTGATTTTTTCATATACTGTTCTCTGAAAAAATCGCAATCTCTGTTTAATTTGCAGACACTACAGGTAACTACATGGTTGAGTATGAAGCATCATGTAACTGACATGTTGCACATCAGCAGATGTTTACATACCTGTATTAGCTATTAAGTAGTTACCATTTGTCAAGCTTACTAAGGAACAGATTGTTTTTTTTGTCTGATGCGAGTGAAATCTTGGGGCAGATAAACTCCATGTGGGATCCATTATAATCACAAAAATTGGAGATGGGAATCTCAAGTGTGTTTAAAATTGTTATGATTGAGTCTTGAAGTGGTCTATAAATTGTGTTTGTGGGATCTGTAAGGTAGATGCTACTAAGTTTCCCCAGAGGTAGGTTGTACACCCTGACAGTTGGTAACCTCTATGTATACATAGGTTCCCAGTGGGTACCCTTATCCAAAATCAACTACTTCAAGACACTGTTTGGCCCACAGGGGAAACACATCTTGTGTCATAGAAAAGCCTACACTGCACATGGAAAGATATCTCCCTGCCTCACCTACATCTGTGTCAGTCAGAAATACAAACTGCCAGCCCTTATTCTCCATTTATTGACATACATAGATAACACTTTAATTTTCCAATTTATGCCAATTACCTATCAGCACTATTCAACAAGTCTTTCAGAGATCTGGCATGTTAAAAAGATACCTTTTTCCTACCCCTGCTCAAATATACATTTCTCATTCACTATCAGTTTATCTACCAGAACTCTAAACTGTGAACACTAAATAAGAAGACAACAAATGTTCTAGTCCCAAACATGCCTGCTTTTATCTGTATCTATAGCCTTCTCAAAAAAGTCTTGAATAAGATATAAGATATATATACTTCCAATTTACTGGGTTCTTGTCCAATGGGAATTAACAGGTTTTCATATGGTCATTGTATTTGGAGGATAAGGCATAGCTTATCATTGTGTTTAGAGTAGAATTAATACTCTCTAGCCCTCTCACATGGTCAGCGTCTTTGGAGGGTAACCCTCTAATTTGGTCAGTGTGATTAGAGATGTGAATTGTTCAATATTCTCTAACCCTCTCACATTGTCAGCATGTTCTGCGAGTGGAATATTCTCTAACCCCTTCACATTGTCAGTGTGTTCTGAGAGCTGAATATTTTCTAACCCTCTCACATTGTCAGCATGTTCTGCGAGTGGAATATTCTCTAACCCTCTCACATTGTCAGTGTGTTCTGTGAGTTGAATATTCTCTAACCCCTTCACATTGTCAGTGTGTTCTGTGAGTTGAATATTCTCTAACCCTCTCACATTGTCACTGTGTTGGGAGAGTAGGATACTTCTAACCCATAATCACATGGTCAGTGTGTTTGGAGAGTAGCTAACAGGGTCAGTATGCTTGGAAAGTTGAATATTCTCTAACCCATAACACTTTCTGCCATTAATACCAACATCACAAGCCATGCTCGACCATTAATGCAATGACAGGAAGTCGTAAATGCCCAATTTTATTTTCCCATTTTCGGTTCCCTCAACTTTGCTTGCTGTAAGGCTGACAGTTTATTTCCTCCATGGTGTTACAAATGAGCAGTAAGTGTAGTAAAGTTGGTGGATTTAGTAGAGTAGAATTGTCGCATGTAACACGAAACTGTGGTAAATACATGTGTATGATCATCCCCATTAGTGACAAACACATTTACACTAAAGAACTTAGTAAACCAGTCATTTCTCCTTGATTCTATGGAAACCAATTTCCATATTTTGTTTTCTTCAAGCTGTCAGTGCATTAGTCATAGTCAGGCGAATCCGCACTATCACAGGATCAAAAATTTGCTAAAACTTTTAACTGACGTTTGCAGAGTTTTATATAAATAGTTGCACGATAACCATTTTTGTTGGGTATTTGAAGGTAACTCTTGGTGTAAAAAGATTATTTGGATCTATACTTAACCAACTAGTCCCAGGATACCAGTAAAACGCATTTCCAGAGAGCTATGCTATTTTACCCAAAGAAATAGACACTTGACTTTCCTGATTACTTTGATCTTGTCCATAAGCCACATCCAATCAGATGATGAAATCAATTAAAAGCGGAATCTAAATCACCTAAACTATGGCATATTGGTCTCATTGGGACCAGTATAGAGAATAAAAACAGGATGGTAATCTCGTGGCAGAGATATCTTAACATTTTACAATGCAGGGGTTATATCCCAAACATGAAGAAGACTCAAGTTAACTGCTGATATACATGAAGCTCGGTTTGATTCATCAATTCTGTTCCTATTTTCTCATCATTTCACTGAAAATAAGAACACAAAGGAAGTTCTTGTCCCCTTGTGAAATACAATGTTTGTAGACACCCATGGCTATGCTTCTTCCGCAATAATTTGGTAAATAAATATAAAGGACCCTTATCTCTTTATTACAGCGATACAGACTAATGCCTTTAGCTATACTCTCTTGTATTTCCTCTGAATTATTCTATCAGTGAAAAAAGCTTCTCCATTATGGATGAATTGATCAGAGCTGGGTCGTTAATTTCTCCCTCCCCAGCTACTTACCCACCAGACGGCCATTAACGATGTTGGATTTCATCCTATCTTCCTGACTTGCCAAAAATGCTATCTTACTATGTCAAACAAAATTACCACCGAAAACGTTGTCATATCAAGTCTGGGTATTTGTAGCTATATAATGCTATCATATTAAAATGTGTATGTTACTCTATTTCAAATGCAGTTTTGACATGAGGCCAACAAAAGGGAAACTGAGCACCATTAATCAGCGTGTTGTAGGGACATGGGATAGGCTCGGTAAAGGAAGTGATAGGGGACTTCCGTGTGTTTATCATGACGGGATGAATGTGATGTCGACCATTGTAATGCAAAGTGCAATTGTGAAAAGGTATCTGCTTGTAATTTTTACATCTCAAATTATTTTTTATTATGAGGGAGAGGCACATTTTTGTAATAGGTGAGAAAATGAGATTTTCTGCTTTCTGGAAATTTGAAATTTTTTCCATTTTCAACAATTATTTCATTGGAATGACACGTACCTCGACACATTCCTCCTGTACAGTTAGTGGAGTCAAGGTCATTTCCGCTACAGTATCCTCCGCCATTTTCAGGGGGAGGATCATCACATGACCTTCGGCGATGATGAAGACAATCAGGACTGCAGGTTGACCAGGATGACCACATTGACCACTGTCCTCTCACTGAGGCAAGGAAAGATAACTCTTTAAAATATCACTGAGATAAGGAAAGATAACTAACTCTCAGGAGGGTTTTCAACACTAAAAATGGACATACCATTGAAATAAAATATATCAAGGCCACATCAGCAATATACTCTTGTTTCACAGTCAAATCTACCAAAGTTTACCAAGGTAATCTTTCATGAAATTAACATGTAATTTTAATTAATGCTATATAATTCAATAAATCACAAAATTAATAAAATAGCAAGGCTTATCATTTTGAAATATACCTCACAAAATATCAAGGGAAAACAAATCTTCAACAAAAATTTTCACAAAAAGAAATTCACAAAAATGACAACCAGATCAAAGAAACCAGGAAAGAAGGAGTGTAAAATCAGGATAAGGAGTACAGTGTAAAATCAAGATAAGAAATGACAGATAAAATAGAAATCCTAACAGGAGGGGTCAGGAACAGAACCAGAACAAAGGGGTGGCACCATTTGTATACAGACATAGGGGTAAATACAATACAAACAATACAACTCTCCCACAATTCTGTATATATCTAACACCTCTAAATTTGTGGTATGTTAATTTATGGTGGGTAAACTCAATATGATATTTGCCTGCAGGAACTATTTGGATGTAATTTATCAGCCAGGTCAGGCTCACTGGCAGTTTCATTGAGTTTTTACTGCTTCACTTTATCAACGGTCAGCTGCAATTTTGTTTTCTTTATCCTTGATAAACTAAAAACTTTTCGGGTGTAAAATCTCAAAATAGTGATCATAAAATTTCTATTTAAGTGTCTTTATAACAAGCAATTTCAGCACTGAAAAGAGAATCAATTCTGGTACTATGCTCTGGGTTTTTCTGACATGTGTTGAAAGGAACCATTAGATATTATGAAACAAAGACACAAAGATGAAAATATTTAGTAAGTTATCTACTTCTGGGTTGATGTTGTTTCCTATGGTAACTTTTTCCTATGCTTACCTGTATCTACACCACGTCCAGGTAAAGTGAGGCAAAAACAGTAACAAAGCCAACAATTACACAGTGATCTGGTTAACACGAAATAATCGCAGATTTATTAACAGTTCTACTTCACTGTTAACATGTTATTGACTGTAGTAACTCATCTTGTTAACACGTTAATTTATAGGATTCAAGATAAGCAGTCACTGTTAGAAACACAGATAAACACCTGAGGTTATATGACTTTCAGGTAAGTTATATGATCACAGAATTTCAGGAAAATTAACTGGTCAGAAAATTTCAGGCTAATAAAGTTAAATGATTAAAAATTAGCAAACAATGTTGAATGATCATAGTATATGTTACTTTTAACTGACACATAGAACCAGTAAGATTTCTGATTTACACTTTCATTCATTGTATAAATAAGTTTCTGTAAATATCTACAACACTAATATTATCAGCACTAATTGCTATCTTCAATTTTTCAATTAAGGATTCCAAATATATTTAGTCTGAAGATGAAAATTAAAGTGATGATGTTTTTACTTTTGAAATGAAATCCATTAAATATAATACAATTCAATGCTAGCAGCTTTATGTTTATGTACAACATTAAAACTCCAGGTTTACAGTATGTTATATGGATGTTTACTGATAATGAAAACGGGCTTAATGAGACATTTATAATGACTGTGATATCAGCCTGGGTGACTGACGGGTACAGCACATGATGTTAGACCGTGTAAAGCCACCATATCACCCAACACACTAATGAAGATGTACAATCTACAGGCCATATCAAACTGCTATGATATAAACAGGAAGGGCAGTCTTTGTCAAACAAAGGTTCATACGTCATAAGTCATCACATAAAGCTTTTAGGTGATCTCAACCATCACAAACACACTGGTGTAAAACATCTAATTGATCTAGATCCATGGAGATATTATGCTAATACTTAATGAAACCAACACTTTTCAAGCATTTAATTGAACTAGATTAATCAAAACATTATGGTAAATCACCACTACTACCAAACATTTAAATGGTCCAGATTTCTCATAACAAGAACCATAATGATTGTCTTGGTCACTCCACTCCATTGGCTCCTTCTGTCACATGGCTTTAGTGTGAATCGTAGTCAGATGGTCTGAACAATTTTTCACCATAATGGTATTCATCATTGATGATGTATTTTTTTGTGGAAATGTCATAAAAGATTTGCCGTAATTTTCAGTAATATCTTTTTCAAGATGAACCTCCATTTCCTCATTATGTGAGGCGTAAGATGCATTCTGTAATACCAAATTCCAAAACCCATCTTGTTTCATCTGATATTATTAGCATGAAAGCCTCTTAAAGAATGATGATTTGGGGCCTTTAACGATCTTTCTCCTGATAATGAACCTGTGCCAAAGATTTATTTATATCTCTGTCAAATGAAATGACTATTTAGATCACTTATTCCAGTTCTAGAGTTTGGTTATGTTATGGCAAACACTATAGCTTCATGTCACAGAATGAATTATTTAAATAACTACCTAATTTTCTAAGGATCACCATAAAACATCTTGGAATGTTAATAATTTGCAAAAAGATGGCAAAAGAAACTAACAACATGGTGTTCCTGTGATTCCTAACAACAAATCACATGACTTATGTTTGTGCATTCTTGAATCTCCTGGGCTCATGGGAGAGTTGTTCCTTGCCTCTGTTTTTTATTGAATAAGTTGTAATTACAGAGGGAATGAATTTGGCTCCAGGGAATTAGGAATTGTCTAGACACTGGGGCCCACTGGTACTGGTGTATGTAATACAATACAGATTCACTTGGCCCCTTCGACTCCCAAATCCTACCACAGGGTCACTATGTCAATGACCCCTAAAATCGTCCCCCATTTTGAGGTAGAGTAGAAGGGAACCTGTACAGTAGTTAGACTGTGACATATAGAGCCCCTCTGTAACCAGCCCCTCCACGCACACAGACTATTTCTAACAGAACACGGGAGTTTTATACAGAACATGTTTTCAATAAACGGTATGGAGCCTACTTAAGTGTCTCTCAAAACTCTGTCTGGGGTAATTTATGTAGAGAAATTTGACATATGTTTAATAGACAGAGAAACTAGCTTTTATCTGAGAGATGATCAAATGAAAAAGAGAAAATGAATAACTAAAAAAATTATTTTTACATCCCAACCTAAAACTACTTTATAAACATGTTGGTAAAATTGCCTTGTCAAACACTAAGAAATTGCTTTGTAGACTAAATAGAACATATACCACATAGGTACAGCCAATAACAGCAAGCCATCCTGTTAGGTACCTAAAATCTCAGGGGCACATCATTTCCTCCCTGCCAAACAAAACTTGAGAAACTGAGAGAGAGAAAGTGAAGAGATGTCAAAGGATGAGTACAGATGATAAGGTACGTACCTGGACAGATAGCAGTACATTCTGCCTTCTGACTCGTCTCCCCAACACACGGTGCACCTCCATTTAGAGGGGTTGGATTGGTACAAGCTCGATACCGTTTCTCAGTACCACGACCACACTTGACTGAACAACTTGACCACTGACTCCAGGTTGACCAGCTACCATTCACTGCAATCAAAATCATTAGATTTTCAATGTGAATTGTTTTTACTGTGAAGACAGGGTTGGTTACAATGAAGTGGACATCACAGCTGTCACAACAGAACTGACAGATGCAATTGTTTCTAACTTGGCTGTGACATTTAATGTCATTTACACAATAAGTTACTTTTGGTGTTCCCAAAAAAAAAACCAACAATCGGATTGTACCAACATACTCCTAATATCAAGAGTACAAATCTCTCATCATAATGAATCTGACCTAAAACTCCATCAACCTGGAGTCTGACATCCACTCCTTCGAAAACATTTTAACCACTTAATTGAATTGAAATTTTTTAGACTATTTGATCTTGCTGCACATCTCGAAACAGTGGTCATGCTTGATTAGAGCTTGATTGGGATGGGCAATCTGTTGGAGTGCCGACATCTCAGTCTTCTCCAGAGATATTACGCAGGAAAATCAACTGCAGCAGACAGTGATTATATACACTGGTACATTACACCACACCTACTACCCACAACTCTACTCTAAATCAGGTATCATTTTTAAAGCATACCAGCAGCATAATACGCTATGCAGAATTCTTTCCTGATAATTTTTTTTCAATTTTTGTTATACTTTCCAGTTTTCCAAAGACTGAATTTAAAATTAAACTTTTATTTATCTTTTTTTTTTCTCAAATTTTGAGCAATCTTTATAGTCCTTTCATAGAGTCAAAATGTTAAACACACATCAAGTGTATAGGGAATGCAAATCCCTGCCAGGTGTTGTCCTTAAGACTGATCTAACATCTCACAGAGTGACTAAATTATGTTAACTCTCCACAATCCCTCCTCATTAGAGACGTCATTACCAAAAAGTTCTGAGCAAGACTTGTTTATGTAATCTGTTGAGGGCATACTTAAAGCTGTAACAGTCATCAAGCTAAATTCAACTCTGTTCATTTGTATTAAAGTATATGACAGGGTCTCTGGTGAGTAGTAACTTCAGTTGATGTACTTCCACACTAAAAACAGCCATTTGAAAACAGATATGGGCTCACCTTGTCACCCTGACGTGCTGTTATAGATATTGTAGTGATGTACTGGTACTGTATTATGATATGGCTGTTGTACAGTCCTTACCAACAAGGATAGATTTTACAAACAAAAAACAACATACAGTTATTTTTTGTCTTAAGGACAGGGTCTGTCCATTATGAATACACCGCCTTAACACAAATTGACTACAGAGTGTCAGCAAAAAATAATGAAAGTTTTGTGTCTCCTTACAAAGTTAGGATGTATACGACTACTGTGGATGCTATAGTTAATTGATAACAGACCCAGAACTATTTCATGAACACTTTTTTATGTTCTTGTAGATATTCAAAATGTATTTAATGTTGTAACTGAGAACAATCAACAGAGAGAGAGTTTATTTGTAAGCAAATGATTGGTGGATCCTTGTATTAATCACTGTAATAGATCACAGATACGCCCAGTATACATGTTTTTCTCTAACTTGTCTTTGATCACAGGAGCATAGAACAATTAAAAAAAGTTGATAAAAACTTGACTATAATCTCCTGTCATTTCTATCGTAGATGTCCATGATCGGCCTAATCACTCATGTTGGTAGTCAGATGTCAACGGAGACTCATTAACACATTGGTTATTTAAACATTTCAACCGACAATATCTCCTCTATAAAAAATCATTTTACATAAAGCTTTCACAATTAAATATTGGTCCGACATACATCTGACAGATCTTGAGTCCTTTGAATGATGGTAAATTGAAGCATTAATTATTTTGATAATAAAATGTCAAACGAGTTACACTTCCTTCAAATTTCAGACCCTTATGCATTGTCTTTTTTTCTTTGAAAAATTGCTTTCCTTACTGTGTTTTCCTTTTTAACTTTTCCCTAGATGTGTACACTGTAGAATTACCTCCACCTGGATGTACATGTCAAATTAACTCTATTTCTGTATATATTATTGTATAACTGAAGACATGGTAAAAACAAAGGGAGGTTAAAAAATTCACATACAATTTATGCCGAAATAACAATTTTTTTTTTTTTCGCACCAGAACACTCCAAAATACAAACATATTTCTTTGTTTACTGCCACGTGTGTAATCTTTTCTTCGGACTCTATCTGGTGGTCAGATTATGACCCTTACCTCTAATGCCAAATGACCAACAGCAAGCTATAACTGTCTGTTTGCGGCACAAAGTTTTCATTATTAACCCCATTTGGTTCTTGCTCGTCTACAGCCTCCCATCATCACTCACAGACTAGGACAGTTTCCCAGGGTTTTATCAAGGAATTTCAACTGCTCTGATTTTCAACACCACATAATCAGGAGTATGTGTAAAATGTACCAGGAAAAGCTGAGAAAGATCAGCTCACTTTTCTAATAACAAAACTCATTAATAAAATATCAGTCAGGTGTCCAGTTCTACCACCAAAGGAGAAAGAACATCCTTTCTTGGTGAAATTCTCCCTAAAACATGCTGATTGATTATTCAAGGTCAGGATGTTCTCATAAATCCACAATGCTCTACCTCCAGGAACTCGTGTCTACAAGACTTTCCTGAGAAAATCTGTTGATATTCTTAATTGTTACCATGGTGATTATTGACTTGATCAAAGTCTTATAAGCATCAATTTAAACTGAAAAATTAATTATATGCTTTTTTCTGAGGTTTTTGAGTGTCCAATATCTTAAGGCACCCGTTACATTATAAATATCAGTATTTTTCAGATACCCGTTTGTTTGTTATCTTAAATGATACAATAATAACTGGAAAAATAGACACCATGAATCAGAATAACAATAGAATAAACAAGCATCCATTCCATGATTTCTACCAATAACACATCCCTTTTGTCTCTTAGCTTTTGTTACCATCACCAATATTTGAATCATAACAGATATAACGATCTTTACAGTTAATTAATGGCATGTTGTTCCTAAATAAAGACACAGCTATTAGGAACATTTGAGGGGGAGAGGGAAATCAGGATTAATGAAAGGGACTATTTAGTTCAAGGACATCAATCAGACAACATCAATCAATCTTTACTAATGAAAATATTGAGTTTTAAATTTTGTAGTAAATGTGATGAGAAATGTATTGGAGGCCTATCTATATAAGTAGATGGGCATATCCTGTATCACGGTAATTAGCACCAACACAAAACACACCTGCTCACAATAGTACAGATATCCTAAAGTTGTCCTTTAAAGTCAGCTGTAATTTCATGCCGAGGTCAGACAATGGGGTGACCACTGACCACATGACAGACCTTAGAATGGTGCTATGGGTGTCATAACTACGAGATAAACATAATCAATATCATTATAATAACCAAAACACAAACAATTCCTGCATCAAATTTCAAACGGAATCATTATACAAATACTGATTGTTCTATCAATAACAAGGCATCAGAGTGAACTCGGCTGGATGGATTATATACATACAATTAAGTAAATGGGTTATGATATTGCTATCTGTGTGTCATTCCATACCACCACCCCTAGCTACACAGCTCCAATGTAGATAACATCAGAAGCAAAAATACTGAAAAACCTATTAATAAATGAAACTTTTATCAGCTCCATTTCAATTTTTCATCTGGTATTTATCCACTGTGTAGACACTTGTTCTGTCAGATGTACATTTGTAAGAGCACATCACCCTATATAAGAGACACACACCAGAGACACTTGTTCTGTCAACTATAGCTTTACAAGAGAGCACTGCTCCACCACTCTAATTTGACAATATCTCTGTCAGAATCTAATGTGTAGAAAATTCAATCATCTTTGACCTTACAGGTAAAATATAACTATGGGTTTTCATGAATACCTACCATAGACAGTCAAAATAGCTGATTGGCTGAGCCGCTTTGCCACAACATTTCGAGCCCCACAGGTGTAGTTTCCTGTATCAGAAATACGAACTTGTGGAAACAGCAAATTTCCTTCACTCGAAATAATGTTATTTGTCTTCTTGATGTCAATTTCCTCTCCATTCTTCAGCCAGAATACCTGAAAACATAAAATCAATGAATAATGAAAAAAATTCTTGTAACAAAAAATTTTTTGAACTGAGATATCTTTCTCAAGGAATAATGACACAAATTGTGCATGTTGATCATATTCAGAACAGTAGGTATCTATAGAAGGAAGGACAGTGACAGAAGGAAGGACAGTGACAAATAAAGGGCAGTGACAGAAGGCAAGGGAAACAACTCCAATGAACATATGATTTGGGAAATCTTAGAAATCAATTTCGTAATTAACTTTGATTTGAGAACAAAGGCTATTGATTTCTGTGATATAATTTAGAATTAAAGGGACCATGCGTACTTTAGTGTGTCCTGAGGCAGACTCATAAACCAAGAGTTTAGCTGAAAGGTGTTTTTTATGAAAAGATCGCTGTCAAAGATTTTTAATTAGTTATTGCACGTCAGCTGTCTTCCAAGTCTACACCACCCCAAGTATTTCCAGTTTAGAAATCTCTGTCAATCTAAATAAAACCACTGCACTTCCAATATTGACAATAATCTTCGTAATCTTCCTGCAAATGGCCTTGGTAAACAAATGTATCTGATGTGGCAAAAAAAACCTCTCCCTTCTTAACAAAGATACATATTCATTATTTGACTTCAAAATTTCTGTAACAATACAAACATTATGAAAGGATTTTACCGACTGGTCACAAGGCAGTCTACTATCTATAAGATTCTTGATGACTTTAAATATTATTAACAAACTGATTATGACAGGGCGTGTTTATCACACATGTTTGTTGGGTGTTCCATTTTTTTGAAACAATAAGCAGCACTCCTAATACATACACCAGAAAATCAGTGATCTGTAACCACACATACAGATCACATAGGTATTGGTTTCATCAGCACGTCTTTGACGGTGACATTTGACGTCAAGAGTTCTTTATAGGTAACATTTGTTGACTCATTATCTTAATTTTTTTTTAAAAATTTGAAACGGAAATGACAACCAACGACAGATTCTGGATTGAGATAGCCATTTGTTGGCTAATCTGGAGTTTTGAACAGGATGACACAAAATGGTAACACAACGCCTAGTTTAAAAGCAGTCTGAAATAACACAAAGAAACACACAAACATTTGGTCAAGCCCATCTAAAGTTTGTATATAAACCTGAGTTCCAAATGCTATACACAGGTGACCCTACTGACTTTTGACAATTCAATGTGCTCTACATTATGCTCAACTCTCGACATATCACATTTTTTATTTAATATCCATCAATTCGACCACAGAATTTTTTTTACATGTAATGGTATCAACATGATTTTCACAGCACCGTAAATCGAAATTCGACAATGGGATACATTATTAGGTGGATAGAAATCTCCTCTTGGGTGTTCTAAACCAGTGATTTACAAACAAAGAGCTCTCCTGCTTATAATGGACATTGTTTTTAGCAATGTTGTGTTGGGTGAAACAAATATGACCCTAAATAAGATAGTTGAACAAGATTAGCTATATTGTCCGTTTTGCAGGTGTCCCATTCAACAATCATAGCCACTGGAGCGCTCAAGACATTACACCCCCATAACAGAGGTAGGTATATGTGGCACCTCTGTAATGACCTGGTGTTGACATCCTGAGATGTGACCAGTGTGATAACACTAGTATTTATTTCAAATAACTACTTAGGCACTCCACCATATAGCCATACCAAATATCTACCTAGGCACTTTACCACACAGCCATACCAAATATCTACCTAGGTACTTTACCACACAGCCATACCAAATATCTACCTAGGCACTTTACCACACAGCCATACCAAATATCTACCTTGGCACTTTACCACACAGCCATACCAAATATCTACCTAGGTACTTTACCACACAGCCATACAAAATATCTACCTAGGCACTTTACCACACAGCCATACAAAATATCTACCTAGGCACTTTACCACACAGCCATACCAAATATCTACCTAGGTACTTTACCACACAGCCAAACAAAATATCTACCTAGGCACTTTACCACACAGCCATACAAAATATCTACCTAGGCACTTTACCACACAGCCATACAAAATATCTACCTAGGCACTTTACCACACAGCCATACCAAATATCTACCTAGGCACTTTACCACACAGCCATACAAAATATCTACCTAGGCACTTTACCACACAACCATACCAAATATCTACCTAGGCACTTTACCACACAGCCATACCAAATATCTACCTAGGCACTTTACCACACAACCATACAAAATATCTACCTAACACTTCACCATATAACAAAACCAATATCACCAAACTACTATAACAAATAGCCATACCAAATACATGTATCTAACCCATGCAGACATATCAAACAGCCATATACCAAATACCTATCTAATCTTCCAGTCCCTTTTTTAATACTCTTGAGTATATACATTAAGCATCTAGACAATATTTATCTCATCACATCACAAACAACCAAGTAAGTGTTTCAAGTGTGATGAATATTTCCAAAGTAATTACATGTAGAATGTGTATAAAGTATTGCCAGTGTTCCGACTTTTTAGATATACTGGATCTGCTTTCTGATCTACAAATGCTTAGCTACACTATGATAATGTATCATTTTATTTCATTTTACATACCAAAGAAAATATCCTGAATTTGTACAGGGTTTAATTTAATGTGACAAAAAATATAGTGAAGACTTATCATTGCCATCAAAAGTAGCTCCATTTTTCTTCTATTTCAAAAACAGGGAATTTAATGGACCTGGTGTATATTTCATCTAGAGGAAAAACCACTGTGTACGTGAGGCATACATTCCAATAAAACATCATAATACTTTTGGAGATTTGTAATCGAATATCTCTACGTCTTCATAAAACTCTGATAACACTGCAAAAGGCCTTTAAAAAATATGGCCCAAGATTGATTTATTTTCATAACCGTTCCTCATTCAATTTCGTAAAGTTAAACAAAACTTCAAAGACATGCACCTGTATTTGGAGAACAAATTTGACATTGCCTATTGAATTCTATAAGGGATTTAATCTGTAAGTTTTCCCCTTAACTGCAGATCATTTCAACAATGAATAGGAATCTAATAACAAACTATAAAATTTCAATAAAATTATGATAATTTCAAGGTAAAATTGGATCTGTCATTGACAAAGAAGTCTTAACAAACCGAGGAACAGACAGGTTATGATAACCATCTCGGCCCTTGCAATGACAGGTCCGACCCAATCTAAGTCAACAGAGGTGGTTTTGTGTTTGCCAGACCAAGTATATATCAATTATAAGAAGTTCTAATTCTGACCCTACACCATACATATTATGCAATCAAGTGCAAGCTCAAATATACCCATCATTCCGTGTCTTTCACGGCCCACAACTAGACAAACTTTTATCTCACCACAAACCTGAGTGGGTGTCACAAAACTTCTCTTAATTTCTTCCAAAAATGTGTTTTGATTTTTTACATTGATAAACTGGTATGGTTACTACCATCACCCTTTAACTCATTATGTGGAATGTCAGGTCATTTTCCCCAAACCCAATAGCATTTAAAGTTTATGATTCCAATTATCAAAAGTTTGTCAAAAATTCTGTAACGTACAATTATATTTAAATACCTAGAAGCAAAGTAATTACTGTATGGCACGCAAACTAAGGTAAGATCGCTGCCTAATTATGTAGCTGGGTGTATTCAAGCGACTCCCTTCCCTAATTACCCTGGTCAACTTGTACTAATCATAATCTTTGGCTTCCTCAAGCGACATCCTATATTACAACAACATACATAAAACATCCAAATCTTTCCCAAAATACACAGACAACCGACAAGGACCACTTTGTACAGAAAACAAAACAGTGCTCTCCGTACAAGAGGATTGCATGGTGTTTAAATTATCATCCATAACATTCCTGTAATATTCTTCATTGATAGTTTGAAATCAAGAAATATTATATATATATGCTTGATTACATTTTCAATTCCACTTCTTCAGAGTATAGTGTTTGCTTTCTGGTGAAGGAGAGACCCCTGATTACATATTTCTTGTAGAATCTAATTACATGTGAACGTACATTCCCGCAATGACAGCAATTGACATATTAGTTTTAATTTCTAGACTGCCATACTGCCAGTACACTTCCAATGAATCAGACAATATTACCATAGGACAATGTATTTCTGTCTAGAACAATCACCTTACGTAAGATATATTTTCCTTCAAATGAAATTTTCATGCAAGAAAACCTAGGTGATATTATGTGTCTGTGTTGATTTGAAGAAGCATGATTGATGGGGAACTTGTTGTTAGTCATAGATGAATGTATATCCTGATGTATGGAACGATTTATTGAATCCAATAACAAAAAACGCTCAGACTGCACAACACCCGACAGTCCAGGTCTCTCATCTCAACTCTATAATGAGTCACATACTATGATTAAATCATCTGTGACAAAACAGCTATGTAAAACCCTTTAATGACGAAAACAATAAAAATTTCAAGTTAAAAGTATTTAAGAATTTTGCTATCTTAAAACTATAACATTACAATAAAAATCAAGAAATAAAGAATTCTAAATGTCTGAAAACAGGGGACAAATAACAATGAAGACCAGCTGAGTTGAGTATGCCATGCGAAATAAACACCTTGTAGCAGCTAGGGCCACATCTGCTATCGGAATCCTTGGGAACCTGATACGAACTCTCCTGTCATAATTACAGGTATCACTGTTCTACCTTCACGCAGTAGTGACAAGATTCAAAGCAGATTTTGCATTTTTGCTCTTATGAATTCAATTACAGGGCAGTACATCAGTCTTGAGGATACCCGCTGTTTACTTTGTGTGGAGTCTCGTCCATTTTTCCTTACCTACTCTCACATGTTGTTTATTTACCTGGCTTTTTAACCTCAGGTATCAAAGTCACCATGGATCACATGAAGTAAATATGTCCAGCTTACTTATCCTATTTCGAATAATCTCAACACCCTATCGCACTACATATCACAATTTATAATTAGGTTTTATACCAGCCTACCCAACCATTTAAGGAGGATACATGTATAAAAATGAAAAGATGAATTGTAAATGACATGTGTATTGATAATCGGAAGATGGTATTACCATCTGATGTCCATAAATGTATAAATTGTTCGAGTTTTTTATTCAAACATCTAATTCTCAATCATATCCCTTTATTGGTCATATAACCTCGATTCCTCATAAAAGAAATTAGAGAGTTAAGTTGCAATTGATGCAGTGAAGATCAAATGTATCTGAGCACAACTTGTCATCATCTCCAACAGACTAATCCTGATATTATGTGACTTCTGGGTAATTCTAGCTAACTATGAAACCATGAAAAAACATGGCAGCATGCAAAGTCAAAAGCTCAAGAATCAGTGCATTTGTGTGTTCACCACAAAACCTATCCCTACCTCTGGCATCGGTTTCCCTTCTGGAGGTAGACAGGTAAGCTGAGCGTCTGTATCAAGGGCCGCACGCAGCGACATCGGCTGATGTTCAAACCGTCTTCGCATTACTGTAACAAAAACGAAAAATATTAAACCACCTTCAAATCAACGCAAGGAACAGAAACAAAACACCACATTGATATTGTGGTAACAAAAATATCACTCTATATAATACAAAGTATGATATCCTCATCTTCAGCGCTCTATAACATCAAAATTTTAATTTGGAATTGAAAGAATGTGCAACAATGAACATCACTAGAAAACTATATACAAAGTTGAGTGGAATTAGTTTACGATTTCAATAAATATCTTACCTATCTACAAATGCTATTATCAATCCAATAGTCCTGAAGATTTGTGATAAGCTATGAGGCTAAATCTATGTCATGATTTATCTATAACAGGTATTTACCACAATCTCCTCCTACTCATCAATATTCTGTGTTTGTTATTTTCTTGGTTATTGTAAATATCAGTAGATATATAATCAATTTCTGATGAATCAATATTGAATCAGGTGTGAAGCCACGATTACCATCTAACATAATGAAACACTTCCCAGGGTTGGTTATGCTAAATTGCTCACCCTTATTCAAATATTTATCGACTCTAACATAATATTTTATCTGTAAGCACTTGTTTTGTGAATGAACATTTATTTTTGTTAAAATCCTGCCGTTCTGTAGACTATGAATCTGTATGATATATTTCGCTGTTAAATATTGACAGAGGTAGTGTTATGAAAGGCTCCGATGATTACTCTAAACCTGCACAACGCCTCAACAAGGACAGTTTCATGTTGTGACCTCTCCTTTTCAAAGTGTATCACATCTTTCTCAAATTTAGTCTCGATCAAGATAGGCAATAATTGGAAGTCATTCACTTCTGTGTTCTATCAACTAAACACAGGTGCAACTTATTTGAAATGGAAGTTTTGCAAAAAAAAAAATTTAAGTGGAATTTTAATCGTCTTGGGTTTAAAATTAATCCTGAAATTTAATTCGGCCCAAATAACATGTATGACGATGACGTAATTCTGTCAAGAAGTTCTGTATCAGTAAATGCGTCTTGATTACTCTCACTTTCACCGGATTTGTAATGGATTGAAATAATCTCTTCACAGCTGGCTCAGCTACCTCATGATTGGTCAATATACCCAGGACCTATTGGCTAATCTATATAAGGAAATTTTCACTGATAGATTATGCATTTTTTGAAATACAAATATTTTGTAAGTTTATCTTTAAATAATTTCTCATTTATTTAAGGCATATAATATCGTTGGGATATTAAAATGTAATAATTTCATGAACACATTAAACATCCAAATTTATTAATTGTAATAATTCAGATAAAACATTTAACATCCGGTTTTCCTAATTGTAATAATTCATATAAAACATTTAACATCTTGATTTCCTAACTGTAATAATTCAGATAAAACATTTAACATCTTGATTTCCTAACTGTAATAATTCAGATAAAACATTTAACACGGATTTATTAATTGTAATAATTCAGATAAAACATTTAACATCTGGATTTATTAATTGTAATAATTCAGATAAAACATTAAACGGATTTATTAATTGTAATAATTCAGATAAAACATTTAACATCCGGATTTATTAATTGTAATAATTGATAAAACATTTAACATCTGGATTTATTAATTGTAATAATTCAGATAAAACATTTAACACAAATTTATTAATTGTAATAATTCAGATAAAACATTTAACATCCGGTTTTCCTAATTGTAATAATTCATATAAAACATTTAACATCTGGATTTATTAACTGCTAATCATTAAGTAGTTAAAAAAAAGAAAAACATACATGGAATCGTATAAATGTTAACCGTTAGTGGGAAACAATGGTTTGTTCTGTACACCTCCTGGTAAAACAGACTCTCTGTGTGTTCCCAACATCTTCTCTAATGTCCTTAAAACCATTTTAAATGCACTACTTCATTCATAAAGGAGATTTACATTTCTATGTTTGATTGTTTGATCCCAAAAGACATTTTGTTTTTAGATATCCCTGAACACGACACACCTTTGTATTTATGTTACATATATCTAACCTGCATGGATGCGATAGTTTACCCTGTCTGGAGCAGACTGCACAGTTAAAGCAACTATAAAGTTTCTATTTTATGATGGTAATACCTCGATGCCTGCCACAGAATGGCGGTGACCTTCCACAAATGCTTTAGCCTCTGGAATTTTAATTATATTTTAACTGGGAATTTAATTGCTTGTCAGGAAAGTTGAAAACCATTCATCCACTTCTTAATTGACACAATATCCTAGTTTTAATTTTCACAATTTATAATGGTATCAAGGTCTACCCATATAAGGTGAAGAGAGGCAGTATCAAAAGATCTCATGAAAATCATTTCACTGAAAAGGATGACGTTATATATCTAAATATTTCTTCCTACAGAACAGTTTTGCAAGTAGCATTAAATATCTTTTCTTAAATACTTCAATTTGAAAAATTGTGTACACAAAACTTAACAATTTTTTTTTAGCTTTTAGGACAAATTTTCCATATATTGAGATTATTTCCCTCATGAAAATATAATTAATGTTGTGAGTAAAATTATTTCCAAAGTACAACATTAGTACATATTTAACAATCTTGATAATGCCTTGTAAAGCTACACGAACCAGGTTACATGTTCACCAGCCATTTATCAACGAGATATGGGAAAGCCTGGCGTACAAGTGAATGACTCCCGCTCGGATAGCTGGCTTTACCTTTTATTCCTCTGTATTATGGAACCATGCAATTACACCATCTCAACTAGCACATTCAATCGCGGTGTTGGCACAAATGATCGCTTTAATACACCACACGGCCACCATTGCATCACCTAACATGCAATTGAGTACCTATCAGGGAAATAGCATGGATCCAAATCTAGAATTAAGGATGATTTCTATCCACTTAAGATCAATAAAAATTGGATTTTTCCTAACTAACTTTTTATAGTTTAAAGCTAATGATTGATTCAGTTTTCTGCAGTTTCTACAATGACTGGCTTTATGTTGTAGTAAATTGGTAGGTACAAAAATATAACCAATTCTGAAATGTGAATTCTTAGTGTTCTATGCAGTCTTTCCAATAGGAACAGTATAGATTTGTGTTTTAAACGAACATTATAGAGGGGACCTACATTTGTGTTTTAAATGAATCTCTTCATTTTTTCAAATTTGTCCCTTTCTTTCGTTAAAACATTTCCTTTCCATTCCTCCCAAACACAACATGATTTATATGTTTTTTGTCTTTCACTCTCCAGATTTTTCTGATCAAATGAATAACATGAATTTTTTTTATCTGGCATCAAAAAAGTTCATTGCTGACATATCATATAGACTTTGTGCTGTGATGTAGAGTTATGACTTGGTACTAGAAATTTTATAATCATGTGTTACAGCTGGGCTGGATAGTACGACCCTTCCCAACCCCTCTATACCCAGGGAGGTAGAGGGATCATGAATATACATAAAAGATGGCTGTTTCTCTTCATCATCATCTTATACATTTTCCACATCTTAAAAATATTTAACAAGACACTTCTCTCAGAAATGTTTCTCTATAACAATATTATTTCTCTATTACAAGACATACCAACAAACAAGATATATGTCATTAATTTGTACTTTTATTCATACACTAGTGATTTCTATCATTACATGTGTAATAACTTGAAAATAAACGCTGACACGTTTCAGTATTAGAGTCCTCCAAGGGCGCTGTCCCTACATAACGATAGCATAGGGGTTTAGTCAACAGGAAAAACAGGAAATTGACTTCTATTATGAATTTCAGAAAAATCCATGAAAGGTGCTAGATACATATGAACTGAAGTATGATTTTAAATAAACTAACATCATTCTGATATAAAGCAAACTATAGTTGGCAAGAATACAGTTTTTTTTTTTAATTTCTTATAATCTAAGGGTCATTCTGGAGGTCATATAAAAAACCTCACTGTGCAGACATTTGTGATGGATGTAGAATGTAGCATATTTGTTTTACTCAAGATTATCTTTGACAGATATAAATCTAAAAAGTTGTCAAAAATATCCACTTCCTGCCTGCTGCTATCTTTGTACTGTCCATGTGGCCTTGCTTTTCATCATTGGTCTCACTGCCCACTGTCTGATCAGTAACATACACAAATACCCAGATAAGAGTTTTGAGGGCCAGAAAAATTTGACTTTGATTAATTATCCAACAACTTCTTTTTACAGGTTAACCCTGGTCGAGTGAGATAGAGGTGATATCAACAGACCTTGACCCCATCATCATCGCCTGGGAAATGATTAGCTACAAGTAGAATGTTTTCATTTCATGAAAGTTTGGATTCTGTACTCCATTTAGTTTGATATCTTGGAAGTTTTATATAAGGATTTCAAAAGATTATAATTTGTCATAAAATGTTAAGTCTATTTGTTATCTTTCTGTGTTTTTGATTTGATGCAAGGTTCCTCAAGCTTTTCAAGAATGTACCAACTAAAACCTAGAATTTTTTTTTCCTTATATAAGTTTCTGACGACGCCCTGAATTTCAGGACAATGATATATCAATAGGGAAATACATCACACAAACACATAGATTTGTAGAAGTTTTCATGAGGTCAAAACCTGGTCTTGTAAATAGACAGATTTATTGGCTGAACAATAAAAATGTGAAATTTATGCTTTATGACGACTGAGAAAGACAACAGTTAGATGATGGATGTAAAGAAAACATACAGGGTGGTCTTTTCTGTGTATTGAAGAATCATACTGACCAGTAGTGTGCACATGGTCAGAGTGAACATTGACCTCAGCTGGCCAACAAGGTAAGTGTCCTGACTGCCATGGTGACAGGGACATGCACTGACAGTCATGGGGACTATCCATCATGTTCCTTCCATATAAATCAACCTGGAGTCGTGTATAACCATGACAACCATTCAATATGGTGAGTTATACTTATTCATGTACTTATGACACAATGCCTCTTTATCAATTATCGTAATAACTTGATATATAACTGTAATGGCGTCGCTGTCAGTTATACCTCTGATCAGAGCCTTCAGCGATCATAAACAGACACAGTGTGTACATTCTGATTCCACCGGGTAAATTAATTGCTTAATTGAGCACCATCATCTCTTGTACATCCAATGTTTGCTTTTTTCCTCCATTTAAACAATAGATGGCCTTTGTGGAAACGATAGAAGTAAATTAAGCTGATCAAGAACAAACCAATGTGAATTTGTTTGATATTAATATAGGCGCAGTGTGAAATGAGTCTATATGTATCATTGTCATCAGCGAGTACAGCCATAACTGTAATGGATGGTATCCACGTTTTTACATCCAGTATCAAGAAAAGCTGGTCCTATCACGAAAGGTCAGTCTGTACGTATCAATAAAATCCATTTCTAAAGCCTGCAATGTGTTTTAGGTTTGTATCTGATATGTCCAATAACTGTAGCTGTTAATTCAATCTGGAAGAAGTATCAAAGGCAGTGTATTGATCTTACGTAACCAAATCACAATTTGCTTAGCTTCAATAACAGTTATGATAATGGTCTGAAAATGAAAACTGATTACTAAATGTCAATACTATTATACTTAAAAGTTGATATTTCCATCACCCATTACTTATCCATACTGTGTGGATAAAGTTACAGAGTACCAATTATTTCTGATATTCCTTAGTTATCTCCCTTAGTTGAGAATAATTGACTTACTTGCTATTTCCACCAGTCCTCTTCTACTCTTGATTTTCTTTCCATTATTAGTATCCAGTAAACTATTGGTCGCATAACATTCACACCAAAATCCACCCTCTCCAAAATAATCTTGAACTTCATCCCGTGTTACTTCCAGTCGACTAGATATCACTTTTTTATTGAGAGTTGAATCAAAATATTCTTCAGTTATTTCATGGTACTGATCCACACCAGCACATCGAAACTTTATTTGGACTGCACTAACAGCCTTACAATGAATGTCGATTGGTCGATTTTTTACTATGTAGTAGTAAGACTCTGGTTCCTTGATGAACATAGGAGACCCAAGGAGACGTGGGTCACTACTTCCATGTACTGCACCCGGAACAAACTCTGAAAAACATAAAAGTACAGAAATTAGATTTTTTAAATTGATACATATAAAAATTGATGTCTTTCAATTATTTAAGTTATCCTTGTATCAAATCTCAAACTAGTTAGTTTAATAATGACCTGCTTAATATTGTTTTTTTTATAAGGTTCATAAAACATGCAGTGTACCTCATTGTGAGGAGGCCTAGTGTACGACTTCCAGTATGGATGAAGGGAAGGCTAAAGCTGATGACAGGTGAGAAATACAATGTCTGCTAGTTGTTTACCTAACTCCTAACTATCAATCAACAAGAAAAGCTGCCTTCATGAAGATTGGTATTCAATGTCTTAAACAGTTTTATTAATGGCTGGTAGATGTGCACAGCAACACACACAGTTCAGGCAAATGAGTATACATCATTTTTTTTCTGCCTCTCTTCACCTAGTAATTCTTGTGCAGGTTGGCCAGATGGCAGGACTCCTGATGGTTAGCTAACCTATACACCACAATCCCAGAAACACAGATAACAGTGCTTAAAGTGTGGAATACAGCATTGAGATATGGGAGTCTGACACAAAACTAAAAAACAGGAGACTGATACAGAGTATAATACAGGAGTTGTGAAAACAGTGCCGTACGATTTTATTTACACCGATACACACATGAATCTCATGATCCAGATTTCATAATTATCATTTGACCTTATGTTGATGATAAAGAATTTCCATCTAGTCCTTCTCTGCATCTTACATAAGAATTTTACAGTGTTATTAATCAAGAGTACTTTACTGTGATTAGTAAAGAATTTGTAATTAACATTTCCCCATTTGTCTGGCTCTATATGATGCCAGCTTGTAATGATGATATAGCATCTTAGGTATAGCCAAGACTGAAAAACCTCTTTAAAACACAAATCCACATATGTATTGGATTTACTTCTTTAAAGAGGGGCCATTTCATCATTGCAAAACCAGATTCAGATAAAATAATCATATTATACCATATACAATTAAAGAAAGGTGATTTAGATTTTAAATGGGGAAAAAAACAATAATTGTTGCCTAAAGGTTTCATATTGTTTGGTTGTTTAAGAGTAATCAGATTTCAAATATCACATACTACTTTAAAAAACATTAAATATCAATCTAGCATAACATATGTTAGCATTTAGAGATTTTTCAGCCTTCTCCCCACCCCCAAACTGTCTTAGATGGATAAGATGAGGATGGCGATTACATTGCTCCCTATGTAAGGGAAGACAGAATTAGAATTGATAGCCCATAAATACTACAGCAATAGAAAACTTGGGTGTTGAATTCTGATATTTTGGAGCAAGCTTTAACAGGAAGTTGGTGTGGGGAGGGACAGCACACAACATTTGTGAGAACATATTGGATGATTAATGGGTGCCGGAAACCTAATCAGGCCTAAAACTGCCGTACATGTTGAGTGGGACCTGTACCAATGTGTGTTAGAGGTCACACCACACACCAACAGGGGGGCAAGGGGATCCATACCTCCCCACACACACAAGCAAAACTTGTTGATATATTAATGACCATGTTATGGTCACAGTTCCAGTCTATTCCTACAGCTGTGTGTAACTAGAAGATAAAATCATCTTTCAGAACTAGCTGGCAAGGTAAGGACAGGCTAAAAACAAAATAAATCACTTTACAAAACCAAGGACATGTGTACTTGTTTACTGATTCCAAAGATCAGAAAAAACGTTAAATAACTGTCTTAATATTAATTGATTAAGAGATTTATCTGATTAATAAGTTTATAGTTTAAAAGGAAATGTCAAAATAACAACAGTCTTTAATCATCTTCCAAATATAAATTGCACAATCAACATCAAAAATAATTATAGAAACAATCAACTCTAAAAGGTAAGTAATGAATTAACTCCCCTTAATTAAATCTTCAGCTTTCCTAGACAACAGACTCTTGTTAATTACATCATGAAGGGTGTGAGACACCATTAGTCATACACACATCCACCATAAATTGAACAATGGATTTTTACATAAAATTAATAGTTTTGTGTTTAGAGAAATTCTCGCAGGCTAAATTATTTGATGCAGTCATTATATACAGTGACTGCTGTCAGTGTTTTTGTGAGGAATTTAGAAAGATATACCAAGACCCTGAGGGATTGTAGAGATAGGACCAGGCTATACACTGGCTAATCTTCATGGCCCATTTATAATTGGCTGCAGCAGAACAGTATATACAAGAAGGGGGACATATACCTACTACTCATGGGTATGGCACTGCTAGTTATATACACATCCCCTCATTACTACACTATATATATACAGGTAATATATTGTATATGAGGGGTATTAGTGTCAATTATCACTATTTTATACATTTAAAAGACCTTTATGTAAACAACGAAAAACTGCTGCATACCTATGATTTCTCTGTCTATTAGAATATTTTTTGTTATTTGTAAAGGACTTTAAGGTTGTAACAACAAACACATCTCACCTCTAATGATACAATCATGTGACACAAACATACATTTTTGGGGTATGATCAATTTTCAATACGACTCAAATGTCCACAGGAAAAATATTATTGCTGGATTGTACACATCTCCATATAACAATGAAGCATTTATTTATCATAAACTGACACTCAGATAAAACCAACAGTGTCTCCGATACTTTTGGCAAGTCATGGTCAACATGGGTATTTATATTATATCATTCCTCATATAATTTAAATTAAGAAAAAAATAGACCACCAAAGTTGCAAGATGCCAAATGAACTAGATACAATGTGAAATTCATTACGTTACATAGTATCAAACAGGATTCAAATTACAGGATTTAAAAACAAATAAATTTAATCCAAAAACTGGAAAAATAAACAATATAGTGATGATTACTATTTTGCAAGTCATGTCTGTGTAATATTTCCAACTGACCTACCTCAGAGCAAGTCATGAGTAAGGACAGTTTGAATCAAATCAGTAAATTTTTCTGGTAATAAGACATCACAAAGTGGACACTAGAACTTTACTAGTTTGCAATCATGTGTGCATTTAAATTTGAAATCGCATGACTGAAAGCATTTAAAATGAAGTGATCTAGATTTTACAAAAAAACCTGACAATGAAGGGAATTGTGAAACAGTACAAGATATTAGAACAGACATTTAAATTATCACATATTCCAAACTCTAAGAAATATGCCCCTACACCAACTAACCTCTACAACAGAAATTATCTAACTTAAACAAATTGAAATGATAGTTTCTTTTTCTGTATTGATCATTAGTTAAGAGCTTGTAGACAGAATTTTTGTCAGTACATTTTGGTGTCCATTTATATAAGCTACCCTATGTAAAGATCTTCTCAAATGTTATCCTTCTAATTGTGGCCAATTACATTCAACATATTGTTCTAAATGTCCTTGTGTCAAATTTTTCCAGAACATTTACTCAAAATTCTCAAAAGATTACCTTGAACCAATGGTTAACAATTCTGTGAAGTCATTGTCATATAAAAACTAGGATATAGAAATACCAAAGCAAGGTGTGAACTAAGCTATAAACAAACACAACTGACAGGTGTGTATATTTCATCTGACCTCCTGGATATGACATCAGAGACAAGAAGGGGAGGTCACTCTTTCTGTCACTGTACAAAGTGTGAAGACAAATGCTACTACAAATGGAACAGGACAAGTCATACTTCTTCTAGACAACTGGGTGTTCCATTTTGAAAGCTATACAGCACTAAACATTAAGCATTATCTAAGGTAGAAACTGAGAGCTGTGATATATCGCTAGCATTGTCAAACAACAAACGATTATGTTGAATATCTTTAAAGGTCAAATAGTAAATGATGACAATGAATAGATTGGGTAAGATTATAGAGGAATTTGATAAATGATATTTATAATAACCTGATGCCCTATGCTCCCTATCAAATGTACTTCAAACAAGCTGTACAATTGTCAATGAAAAGTGAACAATGATAAGGGTTGGCAAGAGGGACAAGCAGAATAATAAATAGGCTACAGGTTTTAGTGGAATAGTACAAACTCTGCACTTTTATTGGGTCTATTGATGAGGTTGTGAGGTCTGTACAAGACATGTCTACTTTATGAGGCTTTGCTTCATGTTTATTGTCCATTTCACAGAGGATATCAAGCTAAGACATATAGACTGGACGGCCTTATTGAGACAGTTTGACCACATACAACTGTAATGGACCCTCCTGTCCAGCTTGACAAATGAGACTTGGTTTTATTTTGAGATGTTTATGGGTCCCCCACTGGATGAAATTGGAGTCCCAGGAAGCCAGCCTCACCAGATGGGATATTCTGCCTCTGGTGGCACTCCATGCCATCCTATTTCATGCCATTTCCATAATTCTCCCCATATAGGTTAACATAAACACAGTTTTGTTTATTCCAACTGATCCTCCATCCATCTAAATCCTGCAGCTCCACGTACCATGCCTGATATATAGTGACATAAATATTTTGGTTGAGAGCAAGGCATAAAATCTAAATGTGTTCTGTCCTTTCCAGAGTTCCAGCCATTATTTCATCAATTTCCCTGGACATATGTCAATCTATTGCTTGTAGTTACCTTCCATCTCAGCATTCTGACCACATACCGTTTCATGCAAATTCAGCTGTACAATGAAGATCCAATATCAGAATACAAACTCTACAAAATAGGTGTGCAACTTCCCAAATGATACAAGCCAGAGATTTGAGTCATCATATGAACTATCTACAGAGATATACAGGGCTTAGTGTTATCTAAACAGTCACGCAATTTTAATACTAGCAGCTTAGTTCTGTAGAATATCTGAATATGCACTCTCTATCCCTTTAGCAACCATAAATACAAATCCATTGTGACATTGGAGGAAATCTGCTGATGACTACAGGATATGAATTTCGCAATTAAGTTCTTAAGCTTTGTCTCCTGTAGTAGCCTATTGATTGGCACCAGGCAACGGTTCAAAACATAGATTTTAAACAGCAATTA